AATCTTAAGAGCAGGTTTTTTCCCAGTATTTATTTTTATTACATGTTAGTCTGCTAAGGTCTAATCTCCTTGTTTCCATCATTTCTCTCTAACCCTCAGTTCCTTAAAACAATAATCAAAATTTAGAATTCTAGCTGTTGTTTTAGAAACATCTTCCTGGTATAATAAGCGAATAACAGCAAAACTGTGGCTCAGGATTCACACGCTTCCATGGTTTAACATTTGAAAAAGGTTTTCTTGCTATGAGTGCAGATGATAAAATCTAATCTTTGAGGTATTGCTCTGATAAGAGGAAGATAATGGGAAGCAAGAGATACTTAATGTCTCTTAACACATATGTAGTTTGAAAAATTAGTACTGCTAGTCATTATTGCCATAGTGTTGAACTTAAACTGATGATACCAATAACCATTTTCTAATACTTCCTCTCAAAAACAGAAAACAAGAAGTTTAATGGATGGTTCACAATCTGCAACAATTAAAAACTAAGTATAAAAGCACATCTTCAAAGGGCAGAAAGAAAAATTAGAGACAATTTTAAAACAAACTTAAGTTTATATCCAATGCAGAGAGCTTTGATTACTTCTTTTTAAGCAGTACAATGCCTATCTAATCCACAGATTTTTCCCGCATGAACTTAATTTAAGGAACAACTGCTAAACTGGGAAAAAAGGAACATTGCAAAAAAGATAAAATGGTACTTCAGAAATTAACTATCATGTAAGTCACTCTTACAGCTCCCAAGAGTTTCATGAATTCACCAATATATACACTAATATGTTCACTTCCGTTCTACATAAGCAATACAAAAGCAATTGAAAATAAATCTTATGTAGTACAATTATAATAATCTCTCACAAGTAATGTTTGAGCAAAGAATAGGATACGTAGTAAGAAGAGACACTATGTATGCTGCATTACAGATAACTAGGTGAAACTCAGAAATTTATTTTGTATATTTTGTACTAGAAGTCTTTCTAACCACATCTCTACTCCAAAATAACTTTCTTTTAAGTAAGCCTTTTAATGAAGTCTCCAACTGCATGATATACTCTTCCATTTCTGAAATTTACATCTAATTAACATGACATTTCCCATCATATTGTATCAAGTCATATGTATTAAGAGCACAGAGGAATTGCAACAAAACTGCTGAAAACTGTGGCAGTTCGCTCCTTTGTCACTGAAAATGACATCTTTAAAGGGAAAAGAAAGGCCTGCCTCAGCCTCTGACACCCTGAATGTACACTATTTGGAGTTGGGTATGTATATATGCCATAGCATTTCACAGTGTCCACCTAATGCTGGTCCAGCCAGCTAAGTGTCTATATCCCATCCTATCTTTTTCTGCTCCATCTCTTCCTCTGAGTGGAAAGAGATTGTTTCTGTAAGAAAGGTGATTGACAAGTCTTTCATCATACTTCAGCTTTACAGGTGGACAAATTAGTCCTATCACAACACATACACTTGACCAATTGTCTTTCTAAACCATATCCAAGTATCTGAAGGAAGAAATCAAATTTTTTGTACCATACTTAACTGTAGTAAATATTTGTATTATGAAAGCATTGAGTCAGAGGTAGAACTGTGGATACTGGACAAAACAAATATAGAGAAAAGTAAACCTACCTTGGAAAGATTTATGATAAAGGAGGTAACTTCAAACATTGTGATTGATTGTCCTACAACAGATGAGTTTCCATCTATAACAGCTCCCTCATCCCTTTAAAATCTACTTTGAGGTAAGTGGAAGTATTCTGCTGTCATTCCCTTCCTATCTCTGCATTCCTTCTTAAACCACATCACAACTGCTACCTATATCAAACTGCTAGTAAACTTAGTTCTAGGTATTCGAGGAAAACTGACAAATTTAATACATGTCGTCACATTCATAAGTCAAATATTGCTATTCCAACTAAAAAGAATACTGGTACATTTAAAATTATATATACAGGATAACCAAATTTATTTTTAAAAAATTAAAAGGAAGAACTCAAATATGGAAAGCAACTGCCTACATGTTTCTAATCTTCCAAATAGAAGGCCTGGCAATTTGTTACATTTCATAAATATAACTGTTACTATCAGCAGGAGGCTCAAACTATCACTTGCAAGCACTTGTTTTCATAGCTCCTGATAGCAATTTTGCACGTGAAACACTAAAGACTTATAAATCCTTCATCTTAACAATTATTTTACTACCTTCTCAGATTAATATGGATGCAAAACTCAGATTCAGGGTCGAAACCATCCTCAAAGTTTGGAAAGAAATTAGAAAGCAAAAAGGAAAGACTTAGAGAAACGTTAGGCATGCCACTGAACATTTACTTTCTAGTTTTCTTGCATTTATTCTGTTTCTTTCTCTCTTCTCTTTTCCTTACATCTGCTTAAAACTGCGTAGTTCACCCCTGTACAAAGCCAGTGTGAAAAAGAGATACAATCCTGAAATTTCATACAAGATAAAAAGACAGAGAAAAAGAAAGGGTGGGTGGGTGTGTATGTGTGCGCTTAGGAATGTAATTTAATTTTTTTTTTAAGTCCACTGCCACTGTTTCGAGTCTGGCACAATCCTGATACTTAAATCATAATGTAAGATGCCTTATACTGCCATTTTGGGGATGTTTTAGCATTTGTCCTCCAAAAACATATATTTGCAATTTAAGATATTTTCAGTGGTGAAATCTTCTTTCTTAGAATCAGCTTTTAGGACCCAAAAGCTCATCTACCTCCACCTCTCCACTGAAGACAGGAATCCTCCTATCTTCCAACCACACTTCAGTTTTCTTATCTCAGTTGCATATTTCCAAAAATTTAATGATTTGAGGAGGTAAGCTGTATTTCCACAGCCATAATAGGTGCCCAAAATATGTGTACCTTCACACAGACAAGAAGCCTGGGTAACAAGGGTGGCTTTCTCCAGCTGTTTGGCTGACATCATGATCATTTAAATAGCTGCTCACTATTAAATCGCTGCTCGCTATACGCATAGCTGCTCGAGAGCGCTAAAAACTGAAAAGTGACATTAAACATCTACAGGAATTTAATTTCCCAAACAATATTCCTCCTACAGTAGCGTAACTGCTCTTTAGCTAAGAAAGAATCATAAGAGCTAAAAATTTTATATTACAAAGAAAGGTCAAAATCATAATTGTTTCTGCTGTTGTATTCAGTTTTGGCTGGTTGGTTGGTTTGTTTGTTTAAACAGCCTGGCAACAGCCTGGCATCTCCATCCAACAATCTGTAGATTTGCTATTTCTCTGTCACTGTCAGAAATAAAACTTACCTGTAGATAAATCTTATTTTGTCCAGTTTCAGAACAAATTCTAATAACCACAGGGATGAAAGGCACAGGCAAGATAAAAAGTTATCTCTAATGTCCACAATAGATTCTTACATACCGAAAAGCCTCTCACAGAGGTCATCACTCTCTGGGCACAGCAGATAGCTATCCAAAATAACCAGTATGTTTGGCGTTTGTTATTTATTTGAATACACTTCCAGCTGTCTTGCTAGTCTATATTTGAATTCAACCTAGAAAACAGTGCAGTCTCCAGAAATCTATAATCACATTTTGACTTCATGTTTTCAAAGGACAAGAGTATTTCTTTTTCATTCTGCTATCTGACTTTCTACCATATCAGGAATATATAATTTTTTTTCAGTTAGTGTTACTAAAAGCAAGAAAATCTCTCCAAAACACAGAATACCTCCTGTATGTTACACAATTTACATGGGGCATCACAAAGTTGCAAATGAAGTTGCAAAGTCAAACACTCACGAAGGGCCAGAATTGTGAACTGTAACCAGTTCCCCTACACATATTTTCCTTCTAGATCTCAGACCAATCTGCTCTCCAGCCACCACGGGTAGATAACAGAACAATCAAGACAACAAGCTATCTACCTCTTAAACTTTACTAAATTACATTTTATTCAGCCCTCAAAAAATTTTTACATCTTTTCCATATCTAAATGTTTACATTCTTTTATGGCTATGGTCAATCTTTCTGTAAGCATGTTTCCAGTAGTGGTCTCGCCTATTTCAGAAACAAAGATATCCACATGGCAATATGCCTTGGGAGGTGATGCTATATTTAAACATAGTATAAGATGCTTTTTTGCCATATAGCAAAAGATCCATGGATACTTCTGTTTGTTGCTCATCCACTATAACGCCTACATTCTCTTCACACCTGCAATTTTCAGAATATACTGTCTTTCTAAAGATACAGCCACAAGTTCTTGCGTCCTGAATTTCAGCTCTTCATATCTCCATCTTTCATTTTCCCTATATGCACCCAAGTTACTGTTTCAGATCACACCCTGTTGCTGTAGTGCCTTCACTGTTATTAGCCACAATTTCATACCAAACAATTCACATTTTGGAAAACAACACCAGAAAATAGAATGGTATCAGAAATACTTAGGAGCAGGAAAGGTTACTCTAGAAAAAATGCATGATGCCAGAAGTCACAGATGTAATATGATGAAACTGTAATAACAGCAATAAACTCACCACAACCAAACACATTCAACTATGCACAATATAAATAATCTAGACATTTGGGAGTAGGCAAAATCTTCTCATAGTTCCTTGAAACTGGTTTTAAAATTGTATCACATAAAATATTTTCGGTGTACAAGCCCTGTCTTTATCATAATACTCCAAAAAATGATGATTACTATAACTTCTATAAGTCTTATTTTCTGAATATGAAGTACTAGTAATTACCACGGAAAATGTTTCTCAGTGTTTGTATTTGGATATGACCAAAAAGTATACAAGCAGTATTATTAAGTATCAGCCAAATTTAGATATTAAATAATATTTTATTCCCATTTTTAACGAATATTACTAAACTGTACAAAATGACTTCCACATCTTTATTTGGGGCTTTGTAAAACAAACAAACTTACGTCCTGGAAGCCGCACCTGCTGTCCTGGACCTACTACTACTGAAAATACAGCAGTCAAATCAAGAAGAAATTGCTGGAGCTTACCTGCTGGACTCTGCAGACGTAATGGCAATCAGAGGAGGAATCCTCAGTGGAAGAGTTGTGGGCCTTGGGTTAGTCTCAGTATCACTCTTTTTATCCCAGTCAGCCTGTTCTAATTGCCTGAAAGCCAGAGGGGGAAGCTGGATGTTACGGCATGATAATCTCCGCACAAGATAGGGTTCCATTCCCTGGATCAAGTCTTCGTCCTCAGTGCTGTGATGCAGTGCTTCTTCTGAAACCTATGATCGAGGCAAAAAAAACACCTTTCATGTAAAAGAATATCCATAATGTTAATTTGCTAACACTTTTTATTTCTTTCCATAACTTAATCTCTTAGGCATATTATTTAGACTTTACTATAATTTTTGAGAAAATGAAAAAAAATAAAAAGAAAAGAAAAAATGAAGTAAAAAGTCTTATTTGTGGGAAAGCAAAATATGTGGATGGACCCTAATACAGGTAGATGGAAAGAGAACCATTTCTAGTGTTTAGTTGATTTGGGGCTTTAAAAACAAACAAATTAAGATACTCTGCTATCTAAAATATGTACTTATTCCTGTATGGGGAACAAGAGAGTTCTGTATATTAGATAGATTTCTGTCCTACAATATGCTTACTTCCCTACATGTTGTCTATATTTTGAGAGTCCAATAATGAGAAAAAATTGACTTTTTTCCTCCTTATCTTATATGAAGTTTCACAACATTTCTTAATAAATTCCTCAGTACAGATACCACTGTGTGAAGCTACAGACTTGGTGACATTGTCATGAAGAAACCTGAATTCTAACTAAGTTTACAGATTTTCTACACCAAAACTAATTATTATGAATACAGCATATATAGGTATATACTATTCCATCTAGTTCAGGTATCAATGGCTTCAAAGTCACAGTACTGCCGCTTGAGACTGGGACACTGAGTATTTGCTTCTGTCAAGCTAGAGTTCACACATATGGTATGGTATATACAGTATACAAAATAAAGCAAGCTTGGCAGATATGCAAGGAAAGCTTCAATGGCAATGTATCTATTCTGTGCACATAGTAAGTGCCATTAATGAAACAGCTCTCACAATGAATAATATTAATAAGCTCAATTTATACTCAGAGCTTGAGCAGTTGTTGTGAGCAAACTATTTCTCATTCAATCTTTAATCAGAAAATCTAAATTCATAATTTAGCTATTTTTCTTAATCTAGCTGTGATGTAGTTTAGAAAAACAAGGACTATAAAATGGTATGCATTAATGCATGTATTCCGAAGTAAACAGCAAAATCAATCACTATAAAAATACCAGAAGAATGAATGTGTTATAGTCATTTAGGGAGTAGTATAACTTCAGGCTTGTATTTGTAGTATATGCATAGTGAATACTCAAGATAGATGAATAGGTTAAAAAATAAAAATGAAATTAATTATGCAGTTTGCCTTATTTATGATGAGAGCGTACTGTTGGCTCATATCCACCTTGCGGTCCAATGAAACTCCCAAGTCCTTTTCAGCAAGGTTGTGGCCCAGCCAGTCACTCCCTGGCCTGTGCAAGTGCTTCCGGTGAACCCATCCGGGTGCCGAACCCTGCACTTCTCCTGGCTTAGCTTCAGGGGGCTCCTGCTGGCCCAGTCCTCCACCATTTGGCATATAGGTACTCTTCCTCACTGAGTGTCATCTGCACATTTTGCTGGCAGTTTGCTCCCATATTTGATGTCACTTGTGCCATCATCCAGATTACTATCAGAGACATTTGCCTCTGCCAAGCTTGACCATGCCAGCATGCTACAATTGCACAACATGGGCTCCGGTTATCAATCCCCCATGGTGAAACGCTCATTACCAGCTTCCAGCCAGCCAGATGCTGAGCTGTTCGTCTCCACCTTCTTTAATGGAACCAATTTTCTGTCCACCTAACAGTCTGTTCATCCAGCCCAGATTTCCTGACTGGAACTTAAACCACTTTTTTTGTAAGAGTTTGATCTTTTAAGAGAGAGATTTGCTGCAGTAAAGAATAAATAAAAAACAGGTTGCAAATGCAGGATGGAATATTTGAGAAATCTAGAATATAAGTAAAGAGTTAAGATCAATTTAGAAGCTCTGAAAGTTTCTTGTGATACTAGGGGAAACACTGATACAAAGTAAGAGATATTTGGTGATGCAAAGGTCTCCAGAGAAATGTCCAAGAGCAACTCCATAAATGTACATGTATATAAGAATGAAGTACAACATGCTGAGGGCAAAGACATTTGTCTTTGGACTCAGCATCTATCCCATTATAAGGGTTATGAGAAAGTGAAAGAGAGGCCAAGAAGCTTGTATTTGTGTAGCTTTGTGGGAAAGATGGAGTAGGACATGTATCTTAATGTAGATAATATTTACTATGGTAACACTGTATGAAGGACGAGAAAACTACTAGTAAGTTTGATAGAAACAAAAATAGAATCCTTTCTAATTATAGAGAATGTAGTTACATGATGGTAGAGAGGGTACTTTTATGAGCTCCTTGTTATAAGATGGGTAAAGGTAAACAATAAACAACTGAACATCTAAAGCTGTTGCGGAAGATCTGAATTTTCAGAAATGCAAGCAATACACGAAAAAGAAGAGAATTGGTGTTGGCCATTTTCCCACTGCCTCTATACCATTTCCAGAAGTATAGAAATCAAAATCACACAGCATCAGCACTGAACACACCTTTCAGCACTAACACTCTCTGCAATAATACATGAATGTGAGATAGACAGGCTGTGTACATATATATAAAATGGATTTTAAGAAAGAGGATGATAATGTGTCATATGACCACCTTTATAATAAAAAGAAAGAATTTCGGTTGTCTGATACCATTATTAGGGTAGCATATATTTTGAACTGCAAAAATAAGGAAGGTTAAGTAAGAAGCAAAATCCTTGCCTTATCTGATGTTTATAGGATTGCAAAATGGGATTCAGTATTTCTTCTTTCTTTAACATGAATATGGAAATACAAAAATTGCAACATGCTTAGGAACTGGTGAATTTAAATAATTTATATTTAATAATTTATATTAATATAATGAAAAATTGTGGAAGGTTAATGAACTAAAGGAAATATAAACACATCATGGTGGGTGTAAGGACAGGCCAGTTAAGGTTCTCTTGTAAAGCCATTCAAACTATATTTGATCTTATGACCGATCAAGAAAAAAATGAACTCATAATAACGAGCAAGACCTAAAGACTAACTAGTGTCAGTTACCCATAAGAAAAGTGCGCCTTGAGAAAAGAGAAAGACAATGGCAAACTGTGAGACTAACCAAGGATTAGCTTTAGGAAATGAATGCTTTATAATAGAAAATTAATTAGAACAACTCATTAACATTTTTATATGGCCTTGATTGCCCATCACTCACAGAATCCAATTCTGAAGACAGCTAATGTACATCTCACCAGCACCACATGATGGCAAGTCATTGATGACTTGCAGAGACAAAACCAAAGCATTTTCCCATAAAACATGGCAGAATCTATTTAGCCAGAAAAAAATAAGTGTCATGCTATCACAAATGCTGCCAAGCAATTAATTCCCTATTATATTTCAGCTTTTCTAAACTGTAGACAAAGTGTCTCAGTTCATTTGAACGGTCTACTTGATGCTACCGGCAAACCAGTTCACAGAGGAAATAGGTGAGAACTCGTATTTGCTTGCATGAACTCGCATTATGTTCTTTTTATTCTTTTTATATTGTCTTTCTAACTGCTGTAAAGTTGATCTCACTTTAGGATCAGACCTGTTAAAGCATTTTAATTGAACTACTCCTTAATGTATTTCACTGATACAAAAAAAAAATCTTTAAACACCAGGAAAACAACCCTTATCTATGGTTCCAAGAGTGAAGACTGCTAACTGGAGAATTATTTACATCCAATTGTACATACTAACAAGGTTAGGCTCTGCTATTTCATTTATGTGAGGTGGTAGGTTTTGCTCATTTAAAAGCAAAGTATCATTGTGCTTTGACCCACATGTTCTAGAAGCCCAAATTTTGAAAACTTTATTTACTAGGAGGATAAGCTCGTTTTATAAATCACCTGAACAATAGAAAATGGCAGACTAGCAGCTGCTTGTATTACTTGAATTTAATTTCATTAGGTATGCATATTACAAAACAGTGGTTAATCACATGATCAGTATGTCTGGTTTTTCTGCAAGGTTCTTGTGTTATTCACTGCACAAAACTGACGTTTCTCACTTAATGAGTAGCTATTTAATATTTTATTTCCTCTCACTGTTGTCTGTGACTACATGCTTTACTTAACTACATACTACACAAGTCTTCTGTTCAACACAATTTTTTTCCCCATGGGCTTTTATTAGGTACTTATCATCACAATAGCAAAGTGTTTCACAGACATTAATTTATCTTCATAAAATCAACAGAAGATACAAAGACATCATTATCCCCTTTTTATAGTCAAGAATCAGAGATATAATGAGATAAGCTGAAAAATAGTCACTAATTTTGCATGACTGATTTGGGAAGTATGAGTTTCAGAATACTTCACATTAGCTTGCTCTTAATATGATCAAGCATATTTTCTCTGACTTTAATTTGCAGGAGTATAGCTAAATACGTCTGCAAGCAACACTACAAGCTCATGGTGGACATTCAGAAAACAAGGAAAATAGTAAGTGACCAAGTTTTCTTTAAGAAATTTATCTAGTGTTACATAGTAGAACCAGGGGTAGAAGGAAGTTGTCTCTAGGCTAAGAGCCTATTATCTTAACTTTCAGATCATTGTCTCCTTCTCTTCAAATCTGCCACTATATTTGCTGAACACCTTTAAACTTCTGCAAAAAATGTGCAGAAGACTATAGTCACCATTGCTACCCGACCCTTACTGATCCTACAAGCAGCTTTGGCCTACAGGCTTAGTAAAGCAGAAGTCCTGCCTAGAGAATATGTGATCATGTCACTGAAGTCTATCATACTATATGTACTATATATAGCAGAGTATAAAGGACAAAGGACACAAATGAAGCCTACAAAGGTAATTCTGGCACTGCCTAATTTTTGAGTGCTTGACTTTCTGCCGTAGTGATTTTTATGAAAAATTTTGCAGGTAATGTTTAATTTTCTTTCATTAACATCATGAGAAGTGACATTGACACTGGCTTCATTCTGAGACTGTCCCTTCTCTATCAGACCCTGTACCATGTTCACATCCCTAGTTGCTTTTATGCTCTCTAAGCAAGTATCATAGCTTCACATAGGAGAAATGTCCATGTAAAAGGTTGCAGAGTACGTGTAGGATGTCACTTTTCTTGGTGAGGAAGAATACATGTCATGTCCTGTTCCTCCCTCTCTCCACAGAGAAGCAGATGCAAGATGTTCAAGATGTGCAGGATGCTCAGGTCTGCTCACTGAAGACAGAATCATCATACTTTTTTTCCAAAGGTTTATATTCTGACTGTCCCTGGGCAAATTTTCACAAGGATGACACAGATGCATCTCTGGTCTAAGTCTAAGGTCTAAATTGTGAGAGTGTTAAGTTGTTTTGAAAGTTTTCCCTCAAATTTTAAGGACTGAAAATAGCCTCATACTATTTAACAGTTGAAACATCCTGGGCTAGAATTGTGAAAACAGTTGTCCTAACAAAGACAACTGACAAACATAATTTTAACCAAGGTTGCAATTAAGGCTTTCCTCAGTTATAAGCGATTTAAAATCATATTTTATTGTGGAATTGCTGGACAACTGCAACACCACCAAATGCTGCTGTTACAACAAAACCTCCAAGAATGGCAACCAAATTTTGGAACAGGAGGTATCTGACATGCTACATAATGTGGTCTAATATCATAATCACTAATCAAAACAAAGCAACTCCAAGAAACAGTTCTGTTGTTGACATGAGAGAGAGTACACAAGGAAGAGAGAGTTCCTGTAAAGTGTTTGTTAATGTAATCAGTCAATAAGACATTTTACCCTTTCTTTTTTAAACTAGAGGTTTCAGAGACTCTGTTAACATCCATCCTGTAACCAATTAATTGAATTCCAGGACCTGACATCCTTGTAGATACCAAGTAACCTATTTCAGCTCTTATGGTATAGGGCAGACTTCAGTTTGGGTCATTGTAAGTATCTGCCTCCTTATCTCATTTCTTCCTCTGCTAGTACCTCTGCTAGTATGATGAGTCATTAGCTGGCTAAGTTACTACTCATGAGATCGTTTGCTAGCATTCTAATTAACAGGTATATTTGTTAATTCTTATCAGTAATTGCTTATTAGCAGGCACGGATTTTTGTGTAACAATTGATTGCGATCTAAGGAACAAAAGTCAGTCACGTATCACAAGTGTGCTAGACAATAAAAACAGCCTTAGAGAAGTCAAAAAGCAAAGAGCACAAAAAATATGGCCTGCTTTTTTTTACTTTCTCTGAAGGCCTCTCAACAGACTTAACAAGATTATTTATTTGTCATCTACCCTAGCTTTTCTCTGAAAAACATTCTTTTGGAAGTATCACAGTGTGCATCTCTAATAAAGTGGTTGCAGATTGCCTCCTCGTCAACCATCTATAACCTACCCACCGTGACACACCCTCCCATCCTTCCCCATCTGCTGCTCAGTCTTGTCACATAGATCAAATGACTACTGACATCCTGATGTTTATCCACTCTCTTTCAAGAACAAATAAGGATACTTCCAACTGCTTAAAAACAAACACTGTTGTCACTCTTCTAACAACTTTGAATGCCAGCACTGTGTTCTGTGAAAGAATCCCAGCTGGGAAAAAAGGTACAGCTTCTTAACCTCTGTGTGGGTCCTCGCATTACCACGTCACAGTATACACTGCCCACACAACAGTAGAACTAATCAAGACAGTAGCTAAAAAGGTAGGCAAAAATGATCACCTCTGTTTATCTACAGCCCAGAGGCATACTAAGTGCCAAAGAGCCAGAGGCCACGCTGGAAATCTGTTTTGGAGGTTTGATACATGAGGAAAATAGGTTCTGCTAATGAATGATGGAGTTGTTTCTATCCCACCTACAGAACAGCCTCTTGACTCAGCTCAAGAACTGGTTTGAGTGAGAAAATAATCATCTCTAATAATTCTACCTACTTCTGTACAAACTCTTTCTCTCATTTGCACCAAAATATTTTGGGCAAGTTGCCCAAACATTCACTTGGAAGAGGGATTTATTATTTTATGCTTTATCAGAAGCTGACATAGCAGTATTTATTATAACTTAAAGTATCAAAATAGTTCATATAAACAGATAGTGGGTGAGAACCTCTCTGTTTTAAATGCCAGTAGTAAAAGGTCATAGAGAACAGGTGTCAGCTGAGAGTATTAATATTTGATTCTCTCCTCAGCTTTACTATAGGTGCTCTTTGTTATACTCACAACTTTCTTATCATTGCTATGCCTTAGTTTCTATACTTGAAGAACTTCTATAATAATTCTTGTCCATCTCTGAGTCTGAGATCTACTAGCATTGTTTATTAGCATAGCCATTTTAGATCTAGACTGAATACACTATCCTTCTCTCTACTTTCCATCCCTATATATTTTCCACTCTTTTTTCTCCAATGACCATACTAATACTTTGAAAACGGAGCTCAAGGAAACTGTATCAAATCAGTAAAACTGTTCTTGTTCTTGGATTCTTTTAAAATTTTTATTAAAAAATAACTGAACCTATATTATTCACACACCATTTCAATGTTGTATTTCAGTGTAGCTAGATTCATTGCTGTTTATTATTTGCACTATGAAAAAAGAAAACAATGATGAGTCATACTCCTAATTTCACAGCTAAATAAAATGAACTTCTATACAATCAGGCAATTCTTTCCCTCTTTTGTCTATGATGTAAATATTTTTAGTGGAAAAATTTCTAAAATGTGTTCAGAAAAAATCTGTTGCAATATCTTTCTTCAAGTAATTTGAAATAATTCTTCAATTTAAAAAGTGATTATGTATTTCAGCACAAGTTAAAAGGCAGTAACGTACAATTCTTAGTAATGACATAGTTAATTAGATGGAGATGATAGAATGATGCAAAAAGTACCCCTATTTATTTCTGCTATTGAGAAAGAAGAAAATTATTTATTCAAAGCAAATGAAGAGGACATATTTTCTAGGCCATCAGTAAAGGTAGTTTTCTAAGAAGAAAATCTTAATTCATCAGATCAAATGATTCCCACAGAAAAGTCCTAAAAAGGTTGGCAGTCTCCCTTAGCTCAGCTCAGAATGATAAATTTGGAAAGCAAGGGAAGTCCTAAATGACTGGAATAATGCATATTCTAAGAGAACAAATTAAATGACTTGGATTCCAATAGCACAGTTAGCCTACCAACATCATAAGAAGGAATAAATCATATTTATATAGAGAAATAAATTATATTAATATGAAGACATAAGAATAATCCAGTGAATCTGGCTTCATAGAAAACAGATCTTCTCAAACAAATCATTGAGGTTTTGTTTATATATGCAGTAGAGTTTTGCAAGACATTGATATAAAACTGATAGCAAAAATAGTGCTACAGGAACAAGACTGTCTCAGAGGCTGATACCCCGTGAACCTATCAATCACAAGGCTTTCAGATTCCCAGCCCCAGTTCCATGGGGTTTTAGGCTCCTTAACTTAGCACAAAGATCTGAACTCTAGCTCAGGTGGGGACTCCTTACTCCTGAGCTTTAGTCTTGCATAGGTCTTTCCCAGAGGTAAAGAATCCAGGACTCCAACCTCAGGACCATGCATTTTCAACATCCTCAGCCCAGGCGCTGATTGATTAGACAGGCTTTCCTGGTCCTGCACTTCTTCAACCATAATTTTTCCTACTAGCTCATTTGTATATCTTAGGGGATTATTTGTCTGCCAGTACAAGTGTTTTGAAAGGATCAGCAGGTTGTCTATGGTTAGGCAGATTCTAGCAAGGAAAAAAAAATCATTCCAAAAGCCAAAACTCAAAGAAAAAAAAAACAAAACAAGTTATTCAGAGTCACAGTGATGTCATATACAGTTTCAATTTTCAGATCAGTTCATGTAGGAGTTTATACTAACAGTACTGAATTCTCTGTTGCACATAAAATGAAGAAAAGCATGTATACAGATTTAGCTTTTGTGGGCTTTACTAAAGCAGAACTACACTGACTGCAGTTTGATGATGCACCATCAATTGTGTAGGAGGACCTCATTCAGAAATAATCTGAAAGCCTGTGGTATCCAAAAACAAACCCATGAACATGCACATCAGGCAGCTGCTGACATACTTACCCAAATGTTCCCAAAATGGCAGTACAAGATTTAGCCTCTTAATGGCAGCTAAAAAATCAAGAGATAATGGTTCACTCTCACTGGCCCTATTGTTTGGTATCAATTAAAAAAAAAAAAACTGTTTGTTTACTCTTTCCTGGAGTTCTGCTAAGTGTATTGGAGCAGACTGCTCTCAACTGCATGAGAAGAAAGGATAGATGAAGCTAGTTCCATAGTCATCTCTGACAGAAACTTAGCTCCCTGGGCAAAAGAAACATTTCATAGTAGAAAAGCTATAGATTCTCTTCTAGAAGTGAATTTGACTGGAATCTGTTCTGCAATTTACCTGAGCAAAAATTCCTTGAGTTGAAGAAAGTAGTTTCTCTACTTCTCTTTGTATGCAGATGACATATAACATTACCTGTCAAAAGTCTGTAGAAGGCAGTATCACACTTCCCACAAAAGATCTTTTCCAGTGTTAGGAAACTACAAGTTGTTCACAGGCTGTTTTCTAGATTAACATGGTTCTTTATCCTCTCTCTGTGAATGGAGCTGAATAACATAATAAGCTTCCTAACTTGTATGAAGAATCAATTTCGGAGGGATAGGAGCCAAATGGAATAAAATCATTTATCATTCAAAATAAAGTTATAGAGAATAGTAATACTGAAAAATGATATAATAGAATGAATTACTGTTTCGAACAGAGACCTCCAGTTGCCCTAATAGGAAGAAACAATAGATTCTGATCTAGACTTAATCTAGCTCAGTTATTTCACCCTTTGCTACTGTGCTGGGATGATGAAAACATCCTAAGATCTCTGAATAAGGAACAAGACATGAAGTATGTAGCAGACAAAAAAATCAAAAAACAAAAAAGCCCTGCTCTAGGAACTTGGAAATTAAATTTGCTTTGTAAAATTTTAAATTTTTGCAAATTTCAGCAGACTGTAAAAAACAGGGAATTACAAAGTTTAGATAGGCAGATGATATCCAAAGTTATTTAGAGAAAAAAAAATCCAGAGATAGTCAAACTAATAAAACAAAATAAAACAAAACAATCTGTTATAATAAAGTAACTAGATAGTCTCCCAGACCATATGTTAACAAGTATTCCTGTATGATGTTAATCTACAAGTAAAGAAACCTGAGAAAAAAATGTTTATAGACCAAAACTTAAATTTCAAGAGCTCTTTTCAAAGGTATAATTTTATTTTCGAAGGTTAATGATCAAGGACCAGAGCTGCCTTGAAGCAATCCTTTTGCCTGAAAGGGAGAAACACTTCATCTTACTTCCTCAGACACAGCTCTTGCATTTCAAGTTGTTTCTAAATCACATAGTAAGCAGGACAATACTAAACCTGAATACGCGCAATTTTGGAGGCATGGCTGTAGCTTCAAAGTATATATTATATTTGCTTCATTTTATCAGAAAAAGTTATAAGAGAAAGATGTTTCTGCATTTTACACTACAAATAAGCACGTTCAGGCAGCTTCTGAACTCTTCATTGAAACTATATCCCAAGGTATAGAAGCCATGCCCTTTTAATTCAGAGAGATTAGATGGCTGTGTGAGCATAGTTTAGAGATCTTTACTGTTTACTAAGAATGGCTTCAATTTTATCAGAATGTCCTGTTTACCTGTATAGTAAACAATCCACACTAGAAAATCGCTATCCAGAATTCAGAATAAATACCCAGTTTAAGTGCTACAGTAAAATAGATATATTTGATACCACAACAGTTTCTTTGTCTTGCTCTACCCAAGGAAGGACAGCCATACAGGTTAATATTAGTACTATACCTAGCCCAGTATCATCTCTGATGATAGTTTAAAGGAGATACTTAGGGAAACTGCATTAGAAACAGAGCAAGATTAAGAGCTACTGTCCTTGATAGCTCCTACTTTCTTTCAGTCAACAGTTTTAAGATTTCCTTAGGTAGGGGTTGCGTTTGGACTGCTGTATTTAAGAGCAAGCAATAGAAAGTCATGGTTAATTCCATGAACTTATCCACCTTTTTTGAATCTGTCTATATTACTGTCTTTCACATTTTGTATTTTTTAGTTCTACAATTTAATTATATTCTATGTCAAAAAATATCTCTTTTTGGTTTAAACCAGCTTCCTGGTAACTGCTTCACTCTCTATTCCTTTTCTGATAATTCCTAATATTCCGTTTGACTGCTTTGACAACTGCTAAGTGGAGTTGATTTTTTCAGAGAAATATCCACAATAACACCAAGATCTCTTTCCTTGAAATAGATCACTAAAAAGCCATTATTATGAATGTCTATTTAGGGCTATCTAAAGTACTTGTCAGTACCTGCCAACACTGCAAGGCAAAGCATAGAATCTGTTGAAATATCGTAAGACCAATTTAGTGGAATTATTAGCTTAAAGGAGTTTAAATCAATTACTTCAGCAAACGATGAAGTAGCCTTTCTTTCTCAACATATTCTCTTGTAAACAGGTACATATGAAGCATTCAGTCAAAGAATATATGAGAAGAGTCCCTGACAAAGAATCTTTGTTTGTACCTATAGGGTCAGAAGAATTTCTAAAGAGAAATAGCAAAGCAAGGCAGTTCTACTTCTTATTCTCAGGTCAATAGGAAAATAAAATGTCTACAGTTGTATTTGGAAAGACTCTGTGCACTGCTGGTGTAGAACGACAGACTGGGAACCACTTGCAATTGATTTCCTACAGAATTATCAGCAATCTGACAGGAAACAACAGGCTGGGATTTTTTTTTGTTGAGACATTAGCTGGTAAGGGAATTCACATCAAGTTAGATGTTTATATTCTGTTAAGTGATGAAGAAGAACAAACATGTTATGGTGCAGAACAGTAACAATATATATTGTTTATATGTAAGAAACGTAAACAGTACACACAACACAATGAAGTCAGAATTTCAAGATGGTTCTTTTGTAAGTGTTAGTAAGTCAAGATTTATTTGAAAAATCAGAAGACTTGCAGACTAGTAACCAAATGCTAATTGCTGATCAAAAAGGCCTGCAGAACCTCCTGTGTCAGTAGAAGTACATAGGGAGTTCTACTAAAGATATCTGTGATAATTATAAAGGCACTTTCATAGCTAAAAATTCAAAATAGAAAAGACAGAAAGATGAAAAAAGAAGGATTGAAAGTTTAAAACCATTTCTACTGTGGGGTAAAATTCCAAACATCCATACAAATACATGTATCTATGAATAAGCCCATATAAGCCCAAGGAATATTAATTTTTTATATAACATTCTTCTCTCTCCAAATGCTTGCTTTCATTGCAATCAATATACATTTTAAATATAGTTTAATTCTGGAACTCCTATCTACACATAAAAATCGCTGACCTGACTTGAATAATGATTTAAGCTCAGTTCAGCTGAATT